AATAACGAGCCGTCCAATCAGAGCTTTGGGGTATAAGTTCGATATTGTATTCCAGAGCTCTGATTGGACGGCTCGTTATTCCCTGTTGCCTGTGCCTATTGCTTGTGTTTCCAGCTTTAAGGAGAAATCTACCCCCTGTGAAACGCTAAACAATAGGCCTGTTCTTTTTGGCTGAACTTTTGCACCGGTTCATCTTTTTTCCTCTTCTTTCCTCCTGAAGAGAAAAGGAAGAAAGATGAACTGGTGCAAAAGTTCAGCCAAAAAGAACAGGCCTAATATCTCCTATGGAAAAATAGGGGTGATCCCGATTGACCACGGCTCGATTGGACACCACCAATCACAGCGACCGGTGCTTAGGAGCTTTGTCTCAAGCGCTGTGAGTGGCTCGTGTCCAATTGAGCCGTGTCCAACTGGGTGCCACCCGAAAAATATTAGTAGACTCGAAAAAAAATTAGATATTGTATGTACACTATTTGTTCCAATAGCTTTTTCACTTGTTTAATAATATTTTTTTATAAAAGGTATTTGAATAATTAGCTTTTGACACAATTGAAATGCACAATCTATGTTTATTAAAGTCTATGGACCGGATAGTGTGGGACAGTGACTGTCATCAGCGCCACGCGGACATTAGATGATCTGATAACTGAGAATACTACTGTGTAAGAAGATGGTCGAGAATTACGTTTGTGTTTGTTTAATTACTATTCTCTTTCTCTCTCTTTAGTCAAGATTTTTTTATATTTTACGTAAGAATGCGAATTCAACATTTTAAATACTGTGACATTTGATTGCTCAATATATAATTGAAAAAATAAACGGTGAGTATATATTGGGTCACATAAATAATATGTTTCAAAAAGTTATAAAAATTCAAGGAAAATAAGCAAAGTTTATTTTCTAACGGAGTTGTATTTTTATTGCTTATATATTATTAAAAATGAACTTTGTTCATCACAGTGTTTTGTACACAGAATCGTCATTGATGTCGTCGAGTTTTCTAACACAATCTCTCACCACTGAAGTATTCTTCAGAAATGCCAATGGAATACAGTTAACATTGGAAGAAAAAACAAGCTCGAATCTGTCCAATGTCGACATTATAAACTTTGCGTTGCGAAGTGAAAAACATTTTAATACCAATTTATGTTTAACGTTAGTCTGTGCATTTCTTTTTATATGGTTTGTGTCAGGAGCTTCAGTTCCTCTCATCGTATCAGCATGTCTTTTGATACTACAATGTAAATCATTTGTCACTTCTATCAAACAGGGTAAATTTGAATTCTTAATGTAAAGTTAAGTTTCTAACAGAAATCATCTTATAATAAGATAAACAGATTGTATTTTTTAATACATATGTTGTGTTTTATAGATACATTGTTGGTTGTTAAATCAGTAGGTGTACATATCGAAAATAAAAGAGGATTTGGTATATTTACATCGATAGAATTCTTACCATGGGATACAATAGAAGATATATTCATCAATGAAGTCATAAAAGGAGTGAGTTTATATATATGGATGCCTGCATTTATATTATGAAAAATGAACTAATTCAAGCTTCTAAATGATTTTAGCAAAGGGTGCTTTATTGTCTCACATTTATTGTGAAAGAATCAGTTGGTAGACAGGACTCAAGAAGATTAGTTCCACTATTTCAAGATCTATTACCCGAAAGAAAATGCCTGGAATACATATACGAACCCTTAGCCAATTTGATTGGCTCGACCAAGAAAAAGAATCTCTGCTAACTATTCCTGGTGCTTATTGGCTATGTCATAAAAAGAATATATACAAGTTCATCTTTAGATATCATCGTACAGTGAAGTAAGACATTAGTATTATCTTGTTAATTAAAAAAATTTATTTACATGTATTTTTAGAAATACCATACAATTTTCATATGGACGAGAATTATTAAAAATTATACGAAAAATTATAAAATGTCATCCCACGCAAGGTCAACAATTTGGCACGCAACACCTTCTTGTTACTTACAGTATCCTTTTCTTATTAATATTCAATTAAGGCTCCTGAGTAGTCGCTGTGGCCATGTTGGAATCGTGATGTCAGAAGCGAGGAATGACACGTTAATTTATGCACGATGCCATTTGTAAACAGAGACAATTTGGATGAAATTAAACGATGGGTTCGCTTTAAAATACTTGTAAAAATCGATGAAAACTGTCCTTTTCTTCCTTCATAGTCAGTAAATGGTCGTAAAAGACTTGTAAAGTGAGCCTATATTCTGGCAGAAACACACGGTTTCATAACTGTTGAAACGAGTTAAATATACACTTTTACGTATAAAATTCCAAGATAACTTTAGTTGTCATCGAAAATTACGACTTTGAGAAGTACGAAACAAGTCACATTTTCACAATTAAGCAAATAATAATGAAATGGCATTGTGCACAAATTTCGTCGTAACACACATACAAGCACGATCCCATGCCGTGTGCTCGCAGGCGAGCACACGGACATGGGCTCGCGCTTAAGTGTGTGGCTACCGATTTTGCCAGACCGCCGTCTGATACTGTGTCGCCACCGTCAACGCAGAGTTCTTGGCTGAGTAGTCAGGAGCCTTAATATTCTTTTCTTTAATAAGTCAGTCCTTATTTTAATGTGTAAATTCCTTTACTCTAATACAATTAAAAAATACAGATTATACATCTTGGACTCGACAAGACAAAATGTTTGCAATAATGAAATTTCAGCAACGAACTAATGCTGCAGCATTTTCACATGCGTTCGTATTAACTATAAAGATTTTCCCTTCGTCGGAGCACTCGTTATTCGATTTAAAATATCCCATTGTCAAAGAAGCTGACGCAGGTACTACATTCAAAGATTTGAATATTTCCTTGGATACCGAAGAGAAAATTATTAGCAACGTGATATCTGCCACTGATAAGGAATCTCCAAAGAAGGATACAATATGTCATACTAAAGAAATACATGCAAAATATGCTATTGAGGACATGATGTTAAGTAAAGCATTGGAAACAAAAATCAACTCTTTTCAAGATAATAAAATGGAGTCTGCGTCTTTGCGCGAGAATCTAGATAAAAGAATTGAAAATGCCACAATTACAGCTCAAATGCACTTTGTTGATAAACATAATAAAGAATTTCATAATGACGTACAAAAAAATAAATATACAGACTGTAATACTGAAGGATATGAAAAAAACATAGAACAATATTCTATCGATTGTGTTCAAGAACAATCTTTAAGAATAAATGAAACAAATAAAATTGAAGAGACACAGAAAATGAATGAAGAGGTAGAAACAGAATCAGCATTAATACAGAAGCAAAATCAACAAACACAAGATATCCAGAAATACAAAATATCTTCTTCATTAAAATCTCCTCTTACAGGAATGATAACAGGTAGCAACAATGAATGCTCATTAAATAAATTCAATTTTGATGAAAAATCGATACAGAAAGATGTTATTTGCACCAATAGTAAAGATAACTTAAATAACAATAAAAAGACGATCAGTGAAAATATAAATTCTAACAATGTATCACATCAAAATTTCATTGAGAAACAGATAAAGAATTCGAAATTCAACTTAATTATTGATCAACCGATGCAAAAGAATTTGCAGACCGAGATAAAGAATATAGATAAAGATTGTGTTCCAAAAACGATTGAAGAAAATGATAAGTCTATACACATTAACCAAGAAGATCATAATGAGACAAACTTAGAATTCCAAGAAAATAATAGACAATGTATTAAAACTTCAATGGATATTGACGATAAACAGTCGGAAAATCATATGCACAGTAAGTCATACAAAACTCGTAAACAAAAAAGTAGGGAATCTGAGAAAAAAACCATACCTGACAAAGTTTTGCGCTCCTCTAATATTACCGATTTAGTAATGGAAGGTTTAATGTTTACTATACGACAAGATCAGGATAGTGTAGCCGTGATTGAACAAAAGACTAAATTAGAAATAGACGAGGTCTTAGAAAATTCGGAAAAGGTAGAAACGAAAGCTGGAGAAAAATGTTTATTAAATTCAAGCTTATTAAGGTTGGAGAACTTGGTGACTATGATTGACTCTCCGCACAGTAAAGACGAAGAGCATAAAAATCACGCAATCGGCAAAAGTGCAAATCTATCCCCTTTTAATGTTTTTCCTAATGATATATATAATGATGTATATAATGTAAATATTAATGAAGTAGATACGGGAATGGATGAATCAAATGTTTCTAATTATGAGAGACATAATACGACGAAACATTTAAATCTGTACCAATCACGATGGCAACATCAATGCGTTTCCTCTAAGATTAATAATAGTTGTTCAACAAGCGGAATCTCGATAGAAAATCGGGAACAATTAATGGAATGGCAAGATAATAATTATGAGCAAGATAAAAATTATAAAAATAACACCGAAATTAGAAAACAAGAGCATTATTCCTGGGATAATATTCCTGAGATGTCGCTGTCTAAGAAAATAAATGCAGGACTGCAAAATACAGTATCACTAATTAACAGAAATATCGAAGAAATAGACAAATATGATAAATCGATGGAAGAACTTTATAGTTCTTCACTATCAAATTACTCGTTAAATTCAAGTAAGATGTCCACAGTTTCTGTAATTTCTGAGGACTCTAATTCGATTGAATTATCTTGCCGAGAGGCAAATGCTCCGAGAATAGTTTCGAACGAATCTATTACTATTGAACAAATGTCACCAGCCTTGCAGAACGTTTTGCGACACAGATGCAGAGCACGCAGGCTTTCTTCAACGACCAACAGTGGAATGTTTCAACAGAATGAACAGAAAATGCAATCTGTGGCATTGACAGAGGACACAATTTCCGAAACGGATATCTTGGAAGATAAACGTATAGATTCCAACATAGTAAATATTACAATTAATTCGGAAAAAATTAATAATAATGGGAAATCTTGTGCAATGATCAATAAGGACGCTCCGGAGATGAATAGAAACACAAAGAATTCGAATTCGAAAGGAAAGAACGGGACTCGTCGTACTTTACGAAGTTCGTCAAAGCATGATTCGCCAAGAAAATTACAGGATATCACAGAAGAGTTTTATTACGACTTGATGCATGTACACAACAAAGACAATGCCATTCGAAAGAAATGTCTCAGGCAAAAACAAAAATCTTTGAACAATCTCGACGGCATTAAAAACGGCAAAGTACGTATAGAAATGTTGAAGTTCATTCAGGACATCACGGAGGGTGTTAGAGTGGTGGTGAAACGGCTAAATATAGACAATAAATCTAATTTATTAGAGAAAAATTCTAATTTAATTTAACAATGTACTCTCATTAAAAATTTATTGCGAAGTTATAAGAAAATAATTTTGTTATATTTACACTCATATATTCTTTATTATATATATTATATAAATACATTGTTCTTTGTAGCTGCACTGAATTACACATTGCTGAAGCTCGTTTTACTATCGCCAAATTTTAAATATATTTTAGTCAAATTATAATATATATTAACATTTATTTCATTTTAAGTACAAGTGATAATAGTTCAGTTACAAAAAACAGACGAATCGTTCGTAAAGCACAATGAATTATAAATAAGATGATTGTGACTTCAGATTTTCAGCGTCTTACTCTTATCCTGATTCTAATAGAATTAGTTAAATATACTGTTACATTAATATAAATTACATTAATATGAATAGTACATTTTTATTAAGGACTCTTGTATTTTAATTTTTTTCAAAAAGTTTATGGTTAAAGAAAGATATTTTTTTCCAAATTTTTATTTATTTTTATATTTTTTTATTAAAAGGAAAAGAGTATTACACTTTCTTGTAAACATTAATGTTGGATTAAAAAGGATTTATATGTATACACACACACACACACAAACACACACACACATATATATGTGTGTGTATGTATATATATTTATTTATTAGATATATTTACTAGATTTATTAAAATATATTTTATGAATCAGCACATAGAATAAACAAAATTTTATCATTAATGTTAAAGAAACTAAAGACACTAAAAGTGAGTAATTTATTCGGTGCGACAAGAAACATAATTAGGAAATATAACATTTAAATATCAGAATTTGTTGCAACATCGAACATAAAAATGATCGACGTAGGCGTAATCGAATTTTGGACAGTGCACTATCCCTGTTCAACTTGTTGCACCATGTGCACCAGTTCAGATGTTCAGGTAATGCGAAAATAAAGAACAGACCTACAGTTTTCGTGAATACATCGTTCGAAAATTGACAGCGGGAAAAGTGTCGGTATGTACATACTTGCTGAAGCAAAACGTGCACTGTGCAGGAACCGACTAATTTTTCCAGTCAGTATTACCCGTTATTATTTAGTATAATATGGATAATGATAGCATGAATTTTCATAATATCATAGACAGTATCGTAAGTATTAAACAGGATGTATTTTTAAGCAACTTAATTGTACGAGGATGCATGTGGAAATGTGAGGTTAGGTTAGGTTAAATTATAGCATTAAATTAATTCTACATACATAAAAAACACTTCTTGACATTTAAAGAAGATTCTTCTTGGCCTGAATTGTACCGAAAATGTATGAAAATTCGTTAAGGCAATGTACACATGCTCTTGGAATTTTTAGACCGCCGGAAAACTTTTGCGATCACGCCGACATGCCGGTAGCGAGATCGTTTCGTCTTCCTGTGGATTCGCTTTTTATAATTGAATATTAATCGTATATTTTTCATCCTTTCTCTGTTTCTCTTCAGTGTCTGTTTTTACAGCTAGTATTTTCTGTTAATAAAGCGAAATAAATATCTGTACGAAATTTGATGAAAACAAAGAGGAAAGTTCTAATGTAATTCAGTGTGTAGAAATAAAAGACAAATCTTTAATCTTATTGGATTTGGAGTGCAATATGTTTCAGCAGAAATAATTGACTGCTGAAAAAATCAAGCGGTTATATGATTATTGGATGTATTTTTTATGTCTTTTGTTTTATACAAAATATGCAATTATATTTTCTAAAATAATCTAAAACATTCATATATACTGTAAGGTTTAATCTTAGAAGGATAAGCATACTTATATTTGACGATGAAATTTAAATTGCATTTCTTAAATAATTTTTATAATATATTTTATTTTTTACATATTTTACACATTTTATGTTTTAGTATTTGTTTTGGTAAGGTATACAGGTATCTTAAATAGCGGACACTAATCATATAGCACTAGTCCTGATTGAAAATTGTTAAAAATTGAATCGAAAAGTTTTCTATCATTTTGCAATTTTCGTGATAGTTAATGGTTGGGCAGCCGGATACGCGCTTATTCGGCAATATTTATAAATTAATATTTTGTCAACACACACCATTGCGAAAATTGCAAAATTGTAGAGGACTTTTCGACTCAATTTTTAATTAGGAATAACGCTATATGATTAATATCTGCTATTTAAAAAACATCTTGTATACTATAAATAAAATAAAATTCAATATTATGCAAATATTTGTTCTAAAGTCTTGTGTCCACGATGCTAGAAATCGGTCCGAGATCTCGGATGAAGAAAGCATTGATCAATCGCAATGGTCATGTGATCAAATTGTTCAAATGTGATTTGTTAATTTTTTTTCTGTCCGAGATCTTGGATCGATTTCTAGCATTGTGGACATTGGGCTTAAGGCATAGTTGCACTAACATTGCTTTAACTTTAAGTGAGGCTTAAAACTCTCCCTCTCTTTCGGCTTCAAAGAGAGAAAGTGAGAGTTTTGAGTCTCTTAAAGTCAAATTAACATTGGCGCAAATCAGGTTTCAATCTAAAAAAAATTAATATTTTTTAATATATTTCCAAGACTATGAATAACTAGCTAAAGGTTAAAGAATATTTACTGGCTCATATATTTAATAGCGTTAATATTTCTTTTCTGCTTTTGTCAATATTTTTCAATCATTTAGATATGGTTTAATAAAAAATTTTCAGGAACATGATTATAAAGTAAAGAAAGCGAAAGAATCAATGTTGTTATTGAAACAGAAAATGGGCAAAACAGAGTAAGTGTTTCTTAAGTGTTTCTATTTTTTGTATTAGATTAATTTTTTATTAAATTAATTTTGATATGCTATTGATATCATGGAAAGATTAATGGAATTTTTACTGTTTCAGTGTTTTAATTAAGCAATATACTCAAAATATGAAAGAAGTTGAAAATTTAAAATCAAGCTTGGAAGTCGCAAAGAAAGAGGCCATACACATAATATCCGATTATTCGTCTGCCAAAGATGAGATAAAGGAATTAAAATGTGTAAATAAATAATTCTATTCTAGATTAATTTATTATTAGCATACTTTTATAAAGTATTTATAAAATAATTTAGCTTTCCGTAAAGAAACTTTTCAAGCTGATATTTAGAAATACGAAAAATTATGAAAGAATTGATACATAAATATTATCCATATACGTATTTAAGAATTTGTGTATTTAAAATTTAGATTCCAATTTTGATATGAAATCATGTATTCACTGATGATTATTCGATTTAACTCTCGGAAAATCTTATGATAATGTATTAAATCACATTAATAAAATTCGTTATGCTTTTATAGAGCAATAAGCATATCTAGAATTACATTAAAAAAAAAAAAAGAAAAAACAAGATTATAGATAAATATATTTAGTTCTGTGTCAAGTATATTTTATCAGATAAAATCAGAGTAATCACTTCTCAGATAGTCAAATCTGCTAATGGCATGTACTGCAAACTTTTGTATTTTATATTAGTAGAACTGTAACAACCGCCGATGTAGATCTCAGTTTACTGTTTTTTAATATTGATAGAAATGTATCGGAAAATGAGCAAGCATTACGACATAATGGCAAGATATGCTCCATTCTTGCTATATTTCTGTTGTTCTGGCTGGCGAGTCATAAGGGCAAGCTTAAAGAGAAAAGGACATAGTGGATCACAGCAATCTGTTCTAAAATTAGAATCGAATTGCTAATAACTGTTGGCATATTTACTAATATTTTACTATCTGGGTTATTAGGAGATAACATTTACAAAATTATGTTTAGGATATATGCAGATAATACAACTATTTGTGAATATTTATTTTGCGTGAATAAGCAAGTTTCGATCACAATTAGCTCGAAAAGTTAATCCATTTATTTTTGCATGTTAACTGACGCTTTTTTATTTTGTCTGAAAAATCATATTTTGTATCATCGATACGTGTTGACAAGTGCAGATTTTAGTGCAATACAAAATTTACAATGCATAGATGTGTGTATTTTTGTAGTATGTAATTATTTATAGTATTAGCTTTTATTTTCTTTAATTTCTTTTTAAGAAAATATTGACACTAGAGATTGAATATGTGAATATTATATCTCGATGAATGATTATACAATTTTATTTTATACATCTATGCTAGTTTGCTCATATTGACTGTTCATATTGATTAGATTTTTTTATAAGTGGGTCGTTCTTTATTTTAATTATTATCACATTTTATATGTGTTAACAATAATATTTTTTTAATTTCAGAAAATTGTAGAATATGAGCAAAGTAATGAAAGATTAATGAACAGGACAAAGAACTATGACATAAATATAGCTGCAGATAAACAGAGTATACAACAATTAACATGTAAAGTAAAAGAACTGGAAGAAGAACAGTTGGTTAAAATTATGGAACATAATTTGGACAAGTCATCCTTCGAAGGTAGCGATAAATTAAACGTCTCTTATATTGTATTATTTCTGTTATTTCTATTATCTGTGTTATGTCTTATGTATGTATTATTCGATATATACAAAAATTAAATTTGTTTACTATTTATGTCTAAATAAGATTATTCTTTGTTTACAGATAAAATTAAAAAATTGGAACATGAATTAAAAACGTTAAAAAAGGACGATATATCAACTGTGACAAAAAAAGGTAGTAAAAAAAAGGAGAAAATGATAATTTCTACAAATGTTGATACGGCTAAGCCAAATATAAGTAAGTACAAAAGAAAGTACAAAACTTAAAACAAATATTTTTTTATTGTTACATACTTATTATGTGAATCATTTATAGGTATAAAATCTACTTCAGATGTTGGTATTAATGTATCACTGTGTAATATTGAATCAAGTGTAAAATGCGAAGTACGAGACCAAAATATTATGACCGATGAATTTTATCACACAAAAAATGATCCACATCCATTGTTTTGTGAAAAATGTGAAGCTCATTTGCTCCCAGAGTCGACTCCTGAAAAAATATTCAAAACCATGGCCGCATGTCCAAAATTAATTGAGAAAGATTTACCTCCTTCACCGAAAAAGATTTATTCGCCACCATGTTCATTACCTAGTAAGTAACAGTAACTAATGCAATGTCATATGTGTTAATCATATACATTATTTGATTGTATATGATTAACATTTTCAGATATCATTACTTACAGGGTGTCCGGAAAAAAGCTATATCGACCTATATAGTTTTTTTCCTTGTTTTTGGGTCCCGAATCACTTCCCGAAGTATTGCGGGCACTTTTCCGGACACCCTGTATAATATATCTATATTACATTATATTATTATATTTATTATGTTTACATCTATTTTTAATTTTTAGATACCTACCCGGGTTTTACAAATAGAAATGAAGACTCTCTCTCTAAAATATCACCTATACCTCATCTACGTCCTTACAGCCCATGTAGTGATTCAATAACAGGCAATATAAAATCACAATCAGGAAGGTCATCCACAATGACACAAATTTGCGAAAATGTTGAATTAAGGAATACGGATATTTCACATATACCACTTGTAGCCAATATACCCAGTAATCTCAATGCAATTCCTACCTTGTCTCAAAATAGGAACTGTGCAAGGGAGCATTTCTGCTCTGATGATTTACGAATTAAACACTCTATATCTATTAAAAAAATGAAAAGAAAAATTCGATCATTAAAAAGAAAAATGAGAAAGTTTCGAAGACTGAAGAAAAAAATAGATACTAATTCTCGTTGTCGTTGCGTTATGAATCATAAGGATGATGTCTCGCTAAATTCAAATCTAATTTCTTTAATCTGTAAAGGTGTGGCAGAATATTTCAATGAGAAAAAAGAAGCATGTCCTAAAAATGAACGAGATATCGATTCGGAAAAGTGTACTTGTTGCTCAAAAAGAATAGAGCTAAAAAGGAGACAATCATGTAATGCATATGAAAGCATGTTTTCGAAAATTGAAAATTTCGATGAAAATGAACGAGTACGAGATACATGTTGTGATAAAACTGAGAATGCTACGAATATTATTGATGTTTTACAATTTAATCATACATCTAGGAATATGTTGTCGAGTGTGCATAAGAATTCATACTCCAATATAAATATGTCCAGCACATCTCTTAATGATATTGAAATTGACCAAGAGTTTCTTCATAAGCAAAATACATTGCATTCAGTAGAAGTAGTACCTATTGAGAATAGTTTAACGATGTCACGTTTAAGCGTTGACAAATTATACGTAAGCAACGATAACTTAAATAAAGATAGTGTAGACGCTAACGATATAGATAATCAAACTGTAACTAGAACAATGTCCTTCTCTAACAATAAAAAATCTTTGGATCATATTGATGGAAAAACTGTCGACATTAATGCAGAGGAAAATAAAATAAAAAGAAACGATGAAATTGTACATAAAGATGAGTCTAGTGAAATATGTACAAATGATATCTCAAGTAAAGATGATATAGAAGATATCGATATGGATAATCAGAAAATTGGAATGATATCTTTATTTAAAGATGAAAATTTTTTTGATCATACTAATGATAAAACTGTCGACATTAATGAAAAGGAAAATAAAATAGAAAAAAAGGGCCAAAGTGTACATAAAAATGAAGTTGGCGAAATATGCACAGGGGATGATTTCTTAAGTAATCATACTATTAAAGCTATTGATATCCAGACAGAAACTAGAAATATATCTAAAAATGAAAATTCTACTGATAATGGCAAAATTGTTGATATCGATACAGAAAGTGAAATGAAAAGAAATAGTCAAAGTATGCATAATGATAAGATTAGCGAAATATATGCAAGCGATGATCTTTTCGACAAAAATAATGTAAAAGCTATTGATACGGATAATCAGATAGAAGCTAGAACAATATTCTTATCTAACGATACAAATTCCACTTATCATGCTTATAGTAAAATTATTGACGTAAATGCAGAAGAAAATAAAATAAAAACAAAGGACCAAAACATAAATGAAGATAAGCTTGATGAAATACATGCAAGCGATAATCTTTTAAGCAACAGTAATGTAGAAATTACTGATACGGATAACCAGACAGAAACTAGAACAATATTATTATCTAACAATGAAAATTCTCTTATTGATGACAAAATTGTTGATATTAATGCAGACAAAATTGAAATAAAAAGAAAGTGCCAAAATATATACAAAGATGTGCTTGGTAAAATAAACACAAGCGATAATATCTTAAGCCAAGATAATATAGAAGCTGTTGATATGGATAGCCAGACAAAAACTAGAATGGCATCCTTATTTAACAACGAAAATTCCACTGATCTTGCTCATAGTCAAAGTGTCGTTATTAATGTAGAAAAACGTAATGTAATGAGAAAAGGCCAAAATCTACACAAAGCTAAAGTTGGCGATCGCTTATTAAAAAATTTACGAAATTTAAAGAGAAAGAAGCAACCAATTTCGCACATAAATAAGCAAGAGAATATTAAACCATATTCAGATCATAATTTTGAAAATCTTGAATTAGCAAAAAAACCGCGAATTGAAAACGAAAAAGAGATTAACGACAGTTCATTAAATCATATTAAAAATTTGAAAAGAAATTTAGATATACAAGCAGAATCTACAAATAAACAAACAGACGATAAATTATGCTCTAATCATTATGAACCGAAAAAAGTACGAATCGCACATACTCCAAAAATACCAGTTTATCAATTGAGCGTCAATAGAAATAATTCTACACATTGTACGATAAGAAATATAGCTACTTTAGCTACTTTAGCGATTCGACAAAAAAATAATGTAAATCAACAATTAAATACTGACAAAGATAATTCATTAATTAAAAGCAAGAAGGATCCTATAACGAATAAGAAATGTGATGAGGAAAACGTCAAGTCTATCCAAACAAATAGTAATATTGACGAAAGACCTGTAAACAAAAAAGATTTAGATTTGATGAATACTGAAAATTCTCTTCAAAATAATAATATCACTCCATCTGCTATTAATATTGAACATGTTTCTAAGCTTGCGAAATGTGATGATGTGATTGAAGGTACAATCAACAAAAATATTTCAATAGATAGAGTAGTAGGAGAGACTTTGAACAATAGTGACGAGTCGAATGTAGTACATAACAATATTGTAAACGATACAACGAATAATTTAAAACTTGAAAAATCAATTTCATTGAGAACACGCGTTATTACCCGCTCTGTATATAAAGACTTAAAACATGACAAAGCCAGTGAAGCATTAGATACAATTAAAACTAGAAAAGAGATGTCGCCAACCGCTGAATTGGAATATGCTTCTGAGACATTTGAAAATGAAAGTCACAACGATTACAATATACTAAAGGATGCGATTTTAAATGATGAATCGTCGGTTCTATCTGATCGATCAAACGTGGAAGCAACGCCAAGTGAAAATCATAATAATAACGGAATATTTGACGGAACTATTGCAGTTCTACATTCACCATCACCGAGAGACGTCAATGAAATGAAAAATGCAAGAAACATACAAGAAGAAACGTGTACTAGTAATAGAGCAATTAAAATGCAGGCTATCAAAACTCAAAATAAAAATCTAGTCATGAGTCAACGAAATAAAAAAATGGAACTTATCTTTGTCCCTCAAAATTTCGAGGAATCTCAGGCGCCAATGTCACGACTACATAAATATATTAATAAAAAGCAATGTACCAAAAAACATAAATTATCATATAAAGAAATAAAATACGCTTGTAAAATAACAGGTATATTTAACAAAAATATGATTTCAAGATATAACTTTTGAAATGAATAAAAAATAATTATATTTAGATCTCTCTGACAATCTATATTCCAAGTTCAGTAATTGATATAAACATGAATAAAATTTTATAAAAAGATCAAAATATATATTTTCTTAAAGAAATTAAAAAAAAACTCTTAGTTTTAAATGCTTTCTCTTAAAATATACTGTCCTTTTAATTATTAAACAAGATTATTAATTTAATTCTATATATATTAGGTGTTAAACTTAATTCCTGCCGTTTTTCGTCTCCAAAATTGATTTGTTTCGAAGGGAAATATCCTAATCAAAGTATTATTAATTAGTAATAAAGTAGAAAATGGAGGAAATTACTTTGATTAAGATTCTATATATGATTCTATACATGACGATATAAAAGTAAAATTGGAAAATACTTGCGGACCTCGTATCATAGCCAAGTTAGTATGCCATTTTGTGACTTTTAGATATGTAAAAATGTCAGATTAAGTTACATGTATTAAAGGTATTATTTCATTATATTAATGGAGCAGTACATAGCAAACAGTTAGTTTCTAAAAAACAATAATTTAACATTTATCTTGTTTAACTACAGAAACATTAAAGCATTGATTAAAATGAAGCAATATATATTATAAAGTTATAAAGTTAGTTTGCATATTAAATGAATAAAAAGAGGTAAATAATATTTCTTTTGCGTCCATTTTAGATGCATAGTGGAGTTTATAATAGACGAAGTCGATCATACAGAAGCTTTGGATAAATCATTTACTCCCCCAGCACCATTGATGACGAAATTTGAACAGAAGATCATAACGTTATTATTCGATTTGGAAGCATCGAAACCAATGGTGATTTATTTCGTACAAGCCGCCATCGAATTTCATATGTTTAGACTTGATAGTAATGTGAAGGTATATTATTTTATTTGTCTATAATAGAATATAAAAATTTGAATCACGTTGTTATAATAACAACACTTTTCAGTTTTAAATTACTAACACTTTTACGTACGTAGGACCCGGTTGATTCGCTCACGCGGATATATGTCGTCCTGTCACGTATTCAGAAGGATAGAGAAAAAATACGCATGATGTGTTGCAGTGCTCTCTATTGCATGAATCTTAAATCAATAGCTGTTTTAAATACAATATTAACGTGCTGGTCTGAAGTTCTTCCGAATGCCGAGATGAACAAAGGTATCGTATACATTACAATGCAAGAGAATCCAGTTTGTCAAGAAAAACAACGATAAATTCGATACATCACTGACACAGTGATGAATGACTTCAGCTTTAATCATTGAAATCGTGCACAAAATTGCATCGTTTATGTTCATAAATGTATATTGTTTAATTCTTCCAGAAATATTATCAAAATGCATAGCCTTTCTTATCAACTCAGTACAGATTAGTACCGATAAGGACCGAATATTAAAGAAATTAAAACATTTAAAATCATTGATATTGAAATGTTATAACTATACTAGCGAAACAGCAAATGATATTGTTAAGGAACTTATGACTGCTCTTAAAGGTAAACATATTTTCCGTATCACGTTTTTTTTCTATTGTATTAATTAACTGCAAATTATATTAATTAATTGCAAATTATATTTTGTTTAGCTAAACGGATCGAGGGTTTGGATACAGCCATTATACTTATTGCAAAGCGAGAAAAGGCACAATGGACATATAAAAATATTATTGAATCTGTTCTATTACCAATGATTCTAAGCAATCAACATCCCTGCATATATAGTGCATTTTCTTTACTCGGTAAGTTTATTTTTTTAATTTATTGTATTATATATTTTTGATGAAGGAATATTAATGTATTCGATATTTTATTATGTACTTACAGGAAGGCTTTTGCGCGCATTCCCATTACAAGATAAAGATCAAATTGTGCACGGCATCTCTGAACAGCTTTGTGTCCTCATTCAATCTGGCCAAGGTAGTACATTCATTTTGTGTGTATAAAAAGCTAATTTTCAACACACCAATAACACATATTTTTATATACACACTATACATATATAACCTGATTAATTTTTAAACAGGTTCACACGATCGACAAGAAGGCATAATATCTGCGTTGCTCAGCCTTTCCAGACATAAATTCGACGTTATATCGTGGCCTGTAATAACATGGACGCCGAGTAAATCTTTAAGACCGATTGTCGACACACAATTACAGACGTTCTTACATACACGTACTTCAAAATTTTGGAAAGAATATTTACAGAAAAAAAATATTAAACTTATCCAAAGTAAAACGTGAAATGTTGATGAAATTAAGTAAGTGTAATTTGTCGTTCAATCTTTGTGTAATCAACAACTCAATGCTAACAACTCACATAATTTTTAATTAATTAAGCAGAATTACAATAAGAAATGTGTTGATTACGAACATAACGTTTAATGTTTAAAATTTGATATACATCTATTTATTGTTTGGTTTTAGCGAAGTTATAATACTTATAGTTTATATTTGATGACATAACATCTAGCTTTATTTCGCTGTTGTCATCTTGCTTGCCATGTTTATCTAATATAATTATTTAATTTTTCTATTAATTCACACATATTAGAATATATATTTATTTTTTGAATATGGATTAATTTTCACTCTTAAATTTTGTACAGTTCTGCTTGTCAAAAAATTGTTTTTTATAGTTCTAGTATTTATAGAAGAAAATTACATTTTATTTTATTATAAAATATTAAAATGTTTTCTTTTGATTTAGAACAAATTGATATTTCTTCTAAAAATATATAAATATTATAAAATTACGTCTTTTATATCGCTTATTACTTTTCACGTAATTTCTCTGTTAAATATTTAAAAAATAATTACTCTCTGATTTTCATTTAAAAATTCAAAGGCTTAAAAATAATACATCTATATATTGTGTGGCCAAGCTAAATAATAATTTAAAGAGATGAATAAAAACATAATTAAATCAATAAGGTTATGATAAAGAATTATAAATAACTATTTTGTAGGTACCAGTATCTACTGTTGGATTTGACCAAAATTTAATACATTTTATATTCCTTAAATACAAAATGTATTTATCCAGTGAAATAAAATGAGATATTTGTATGATTATAACACTTCGATCTATTTCATGAGAAACACATTGAATTAATAATAATGATGTAATCTTCTTACGGACTCTTCCAAATTCAACAACAAAAAACTCGAAAACCAGGGCGAATAAGAGTCAGCGTGGTAATTAATATGCAATCTTAATTCTTCAATTCAAATTAGAATCTTTATTCCAACAATAGTACGTTTCGGTTCACTTTGGAACCATCTTCAGCAAACAAATTTAAAATATCAATCCCTTCATGTCAAAGAAAAATCACCATCAGATTAGCAGATTTGATGTTATAATCTATTTCTACATCGAATTATCTACATTGAATTAAATTGCATTTCTGAAATAGCATTGTAGAACAAACATTAATATTAAATTGTTTCAACTGATATTATTTTACTTTGTAATATTATTCGAAATATATATCACAAGATGTCGCTGGATGTGTGTATATATTAGAATATCAATAAAAAAATAAGATATAATAAAATGAATAAATCGCGTCAAACATCGATCACGCTGCTTAAAAATTTCCAAACAAGAGAGATTTTGTAGTTTTTATTTTAATATAATAATGATAAAAGTAATTATAGTAGCAATAATAATATATAATAATAATAATAATAGATAATATTTAACATATCGTAAGTTTCCATTCACAGAGCACGCTAAGTTAGTACATGTACAAGGTTTCTTTACAAAAATAATAACAATGTTTTTTGATGCAACATTGCCGATCGATAATATCTCTCTTTTTACCTTTGTTAAAATGCCGTTTAGCAACTTTCAGATCAATTCTTAGCCGTTTCCAAATTAACTGATATCTTTGGTATGTAATGTCGGATAGCATATTATAGAGGTTTGGTATATCGGGTGAGAGTATCCACTATTATCCACCGTAATAAAATACCCGCAAGAATGAGCATAAGGATTGTCATTTCTAAGAACCAGCCATCGGAGAGTGATGCGGAATAAAAATTTGGGAATTCGCGAATTTCGAATAAGATGGTATCATCTAACAGAATAAAAAATTAATGGCCGTAAGTATCAGTTAATATTATTGCTTTGATATTGACTAATCATTATAACTAATTGATCAACGAACGATATCACACAATACTAATGCAAATTGAGAATGAGGTTTCGTAAAATATTGTTTATTCTTTATTTTGATTTTTAGCACTTTCACGAAGTTGTGCACCAAAATCCTAACTATGATAGTATATGAAAATCGGCAAGAAATCAAATTTGGAACAATAGAGAAAATATATATCACATATAATCGTATTTTATGATATATTGAATCGAAAATGGTCAAATTTTTGAAATTAAAAATTCGCACTTATAGAAACCATGGAATATTAATTATTAATTTTGAGTAAACTAATTTTGATCGGCGTATATATCTTTCGTTTGACTACAAGAAACCGCATGACATCGTTTAATAGTGTTATTTCATACATCTAAAATTACAATAACTCAACATGTGATATAATTTAAATAATGCTATTTACTTCAACTATGTAGTAAGAGATAATTATCGATGGTGCGCGAAGGAAACCGCATTTATATCATGTTTTTGGATGACATTTTGGTGTCGTTATTTTATACTTGTGTGTATTCGCATGGAATACAATACGCGACGTTATCTGATGTAATAAAATGTCATCTGTGTGATACATTAATTGTATAAATTAATTACCCTCTTAAAGCTGGTTATCATAGTGCTTCATTTATCATCTCTGACGACGACAATTTACAAGATACAAATCGTAATAAGGCTCTCGTTTGATTGGCTTGGATTCGGCCGAGTCAGGAAAAAGCGTTAGAGATTAGTGGAAATACTACTTAATCATCGAATGACATGAAAAAGAAAGGTCTTAAATTCATCAAGATCTCCACATAGATTATCTTCAATTACAATATCGTACGCTAATGTTCCAGCAATAATTTTGTTGTGTATATAAACATTTGTTTATAGAATATGGAACAATTAATATTATCGTTTGATTTGGAAACAAAAGAAAACATATGTTTAAAATATAGGACAAGTGACAATTTTATTATCTGGAGACACGGTAGTGTCTCAGCGCTAAGCCAAGTTTAGCTATACATGTATGTATACAATGGAAGTACTAATTCCAAGATATTTTATAGCGAGTACTTTATTAATAAATTCTTTAGAAATAGCATCTTAAAATTAGAAGCAAAGGCCATTGTTTTTCTTTCATGCCATCCGATAGTTCTGCATTAAATACGCATTCTGGATTTGGATGTGACACAGTGCACACAATCATACATTCTATTCTCAGCACTCGTTTCGATACTGTGTATTTCATACATTCCTTTTCACAAACAAGTCCTTATTAAATAGTTTTATTGAAATAATAAGAATAATTTCTAATATTAAACAATTAGTCATAATTAATTACATTAGTTAATAATAATAATAATAATAATAATATTATACGTATTATTATTATTATTATTATATATTACGTAACATATATAATAATAATAAATTAGGAACCACGTACAATATGAAATATGGGAAATTAAATTAGAATACATTTTGTTAATGAGGACTATTTATAAATAATAAAAATACCATTTGTATATTCGCTTTTATAAATGTTTAGGCCACGCTTTCGATTCTTACATTAAGCTTTTTTTCTCTTTCTCTTTAGCTCTATCTTTTTGTAGTAAGCAGAAATCTTGAGTAGTTTGAATAGAGAAAGCCGTTTGTTATTATAACTATTAACGTGTCTCAAAGCGACGAGCGACGGGTGAGTGATTAATATGAAAAAGGTGAAACAAAACAATATTTGGAAGCTTTCCTTTTTTATATACTCGAGAGTATCTACAAATATACAAATTACTATCGAATCGTCGTTTAATGTCTTCAGTACCTGTTCTGTCACTCCGTTAGGTATGTTCTTTTAACAAATTATATAATTATAAAAATATGCATTTCAGTTTTTTTTTAAGCGCAGTGCATCATGGTACGATGAGGTATCAGGCTGATGGAACGTAGTAATACGATGTGGCAAAAACGTTGCTTTTTATAATTAATATAGCTTACGACCCGAGATATATTTAACGTAAAATAATTTACTATTTACAAGAAACCGAGACAAAATGACAAGAAGGCCTAACTTTATATACGCGATGAAATATCTCCAAATATACATATCAATTCCACTCTATTGCATTGTTAACATAATATTTTTAATGCTGTATAAACTGTAAACCAGCAATCTGAAAGTTGGAAAGATTTTGAGCAGAGAAATGAGATGTAAAGAAATTATAAATCTGGTAGCAATTGTGCATGTAAATCGGAGACTGAGCCTTTTATCTAAATAAATAAATAACGAAACAAGAGAGAATGATGCATGATCAATATAATTTAATATTAAACATAGCAGTTTTCTTGATTTTATGAAACAATCTAACAATGCCGGCATCTTACTTTTTACTTCTTACTTTTTACGAGATGAATATTAATGAGAAATGATATTCGAAATTAATATCTGAAATCATATGTATGCGTATATTATTCAGTATTTGTTTCATTGTTTCGAAATCGAGATAAATAGGACGAAAAATATCAGCAATTCTTTAAATTTCATATTCAACTCTCATCTATGCAAACAGATGAAGTTATTTAGTCGCAGTTTTTCGTGAAATTAGCAAATTATGATCTGCGCAAAGTCATTGAATTTATTATTCTACCGTATTTGTTGCTTTATCTGTAATAATAGCTAACGGCGCTTTTAATTCTGTTTTTTTTTTATTTTTATCGCTTGTAATTGCAGATATGGAAACGAAAATTAATTCACTATAAGTACGTCATTTTTGTGTGCCTAAGATTTGATAAACGATATTTCGCGTTACAGGAGCAAAACGTCTTGAGAAAATATTTGTCAATATATAACAGTACAACGCCGGATGGCGATCTGACGTCAATAGACTTTCTAACCGATTAGTAATAAATAGCATCTCTATTATTAGCGGCAAAATGTATTTCACATGTGCTTAGGGAACTATTGCTTTCTGGTAAGACATCGGATTTAATCTAGATTTAAATCTTAGATATTTCTACATAAGACACATATGTTCATTAACCCTTTGATACTAATAGTACGTTCCATCGCGTTTACGAACATTCTTTGGAAGAGCCTAGTGAAAGTATAATGTAAGTTACTAGATCTAATCGCAACGTATTAGACCTCTGCGACGAGAATATGAGCTATTGTAGAACGTATTTATGTTTATATATTATCATATGTATCCGGAGATATATCAGATTAAAGTCTTTTACGAATAACAAAGTTAGGATAAAGTACAAGTAGCATACGTACCAAGGATCAAAGGCTTTACCTTGTCTACTATCAGCGCTTTACAGTTATTGATTTTTCAATGTTTTACAAGATTTTGTCACTAGCGTGTATCAGCGTCCTGCGCTCGTAACACGGTTAGCAATTGGACGACGCTCATCGCTAATTTTAATGAGAGAAATACACAGACAATTTTCTTTCTCTCATTCTTATTTGATCTTTCTTGATCAGGTGTACCACAACTATTTGCTTTCTTACAAACGAGAGTAGAAAGGCACTACTTTTACAACTCTGTGTGTGTGTGTGTGTGTGTGTGTGTGTGTGTGTGTGTGTGTGTGTGTGTGTGTGTGTGTGTGTGTGTGTGGGTGTGTGTGTGAGCGTATATTGTTTTTCTTTCTTTTTTCGTTGATGAGTGATGACAATAAGACGCGATACTATACAAACGTTTACATAAAAATCAACATTCAATGGTCGCGAATCTGTTACTTTCACAGAAGAATTTACGGAAATGTTTCATCCTCGAACGTCACGTTATTCATGCGAAGTCCATTTTTAAACTTTTGGACGTAAGATTCTTCGTGAATTGTCCATCGAGATGTTCGTTAGAAGGAATACACAATAATCGACGAGCATTAATGTCCCTTCGATTAAACAGAGGACATGAGTGCGACAATACGGGGAATGTCTTGATATTACGATATAATAATCGAAAAGAGCCAATATCGTCGTGCCGGTACGTGTCATCAACTTAGAAATCGTACTTGATTTGTGTTCGTTTTTTTCAGCACCGCGTTAGGATGGTCAATCACTCGCTGAATCAAATAGTGGGATTATTTCCAGTAAGTTCGCTAATAAAGGCTACTAAAGGCCGCTGCTGTCTCGAGATATTTTAAACTATCTTCAACTAATCGAGTAGTTTATTTGACGATCTTTTGTACGTCTCGAGTATCACCGATAACGAATCCTCGCGGCAAAACGTTGTATATGGACGACGCGTCACGTAGTTCGCTATTGGCTCGGGGGCTTATTCTCGCTGATGGATGCCATCCTCATCGATTCTGTTTCTGGACAATTCCAGTTGGGCATTCTCGTTTGTTCTATCGTTGCCTAAGAAAAGATATTTCGAATGATGTATTATTATTATTGATTGTTGCGAATTATCGGAATCTGCATTTCACATCTAGCAAACATTAATATTTAGATAGAGCTACGTGACACACACACAAGCTTTATCTTACCGAGTTATTAGAATTCTTGGCCATGAAGATCATAAGAGAGCGGCTGCGGTTACTAAACGGCCTCAGCTCCGGATCTCGGCCAGGACCATCCACCGTATCGACGCAGTTATTGCTGCAATAAAAAGAAAAAAAGCCGAATGTAATATTTACTGTGAGTCTGTACCACAATAAGGGTTGTCAATTCCTTCGAGAAGTCAAAGTTGTGATCGAGTTCTGTTATAACTAAAATAACGAGAAATAATAAATAATAGACTATTAATTACCTCGATCGTAATTCCTTCTGTTTTCGCTTACAATGGATATAAGCCGCTATACAAATGATAACGACGAGGAATACTGCTATTGTGGCACCGCCGGCGATGCTGGCTGTCTCCAACATTACTCGTTGCCGTGAAGCTATAAAAAAGTCATTTTTATTTCCACTTTGTTAAATTATATATTCGGACGAGAAATAAAATACGATACTTCAATACCTATGATGCGATTTAATAATTCTATTTACTTTAATTATATTTTGGTAACAAAAAAGAAAGTTCCAAAGCGTAATAGATTTTAGTTTTTAAATTACAAATGTTGTTAAATATACGATAAAAAATATGATATTTTTGTCTAGAATTTGTAATATACAATAAATTAATGATATTAATATGTGATTGAAGTTTGGAAAGTTCGTGGAGCGAAAATTAAATATAAGCCTACACTCAACACTGAAATAACAGACAATCGAAGATCACTCATACATATATGTGACCGAAAATTTTCCATGTATGTCCAGGCGTTTCAAACGAAAATCTAAAAGTGCGAATAAAATGTCTGAAACTAATGACGATTAAAAAAAAATAATTCGTTGAGATCGTGTACACGGAAGCGCTCCGAATAATGGCGAACGCCCGTACGATCGACCGTACATGCGCTCGCAAATTTCCTACGCTTGTCCCTGCGTCCGGAACCAAAATCTAAAAAATGCTTATATAATGTCTGAGGTAGGGATGTGCGATCTCGATCTTTTATTCGCCAGTACCCGATTTTAAGATAGATCGATATTTAATAAGAGATCGATCGTTCTTTGAAGCGTAGAGGCGGATTCGGAAATTCAAGATATATTTTGATATCATTTCATTCCTGTTATTCAGTACAGTAATGATTATTGAAATAAGTTTTTAAAATAATAATAATAATAATAATAATAATAATAATAGTACCAACAACAGTGACTTTGTTAAATTGCTAAAATCAATCAAATACTTTTGAAGATATATAAAAGAATGTACGAAATATTTTGGACAATTAAAAACAAAGCATGTGTGTGTGTGTGAATAAAGAAATTATTACGTTTATAAAATTTTATTCATTTCATTTTCATCATAGAGTAGTTAATTCCAGTATTCAATGTTGACATGAATAATGTATTACTAAGACTTGCGTTGCGTCTTATTAATGCGATGCTATGCAGAAAATAGATTTGCTGACGTATTGTTTTGTTTGTGTACATTGTTAGCGCGAAAAAAGTAATTATAATGCGTCTTATTAATGTAACGCTATGTAGGAAATAGATGTACTCCTATGTGCAATAGGCCAGTAGCATATGCAGCATTGATTGTGAATTGTACAGTGGTTTGATACTGTCAACTTTTCAATGGAAATAACGTGCAAGTGTGCTTCTTATTAATTTAAAATGAATATAACATGCAATTGTGAAGCTTACCAATATAAATTGAAAGTAACGTGCAAATACGGTGTTTCTTAACAAAGGTACTTATTTCATTAATAATTTATTGCATTCGTCAATAATTTTTTTCATACACTTCCCTTTCTACTGTTGTTAATGTACAAAGAACATTCTAATAACCCGTGTAAATTTGTTTATCCTACTTCACTGTTAGGAACGTAATGCTTCAACTTCCTGTAATGGACAAAGAAAAATTTTCATAAAGGTGCCAACATTAATTCACGATTATATTCCGAAGCTCGATTTCGTATTTATGGTCGAGGACGTTTATTGGAATTTCTCAGAAGTTAATAACCAAGGAGATTCTTCTGAAATAATATCACCAAGATCTCACGAAATTTCAAAGATTGAGGTAGATAGGCGGAAATTAATTATCAGTGCATGAGAATTACATTATTAGTGCATGAGAAAAACATTAAAAAATATGGTATGTTTTTGAAATTGTATTACATAAATTTATTTTTATATTTATAGAATATAAATTAAGAAGTAATTCATTGGCTATACCTTTATTAAAAACGAGTAATTTTTATGTATATATATATATATATATATATATATATATGTGTAAGTATATGTATATATATATATATATATATATATATAATGAAAATTAATTTTTAATGTACACACATATGGTTTATTTCTCGTTATTTAGTGACAATGCTCTTTGACAAAATGATACACATGATGGATGGTAGTCATAGAAGCATGCAAAGCATATTGTCTTTCTACATCATGCGCACCGAATAAACGTTGGTGTCATGCCACAACCACACTTAATCGTACTTCCATTAAAACACACGTTTTAACATTCAAAAAAGCGAAAATTACTCGTTTTTTAAATATCTATCAATTTCTCCAGGTTTGAAAGCGATCCGTCGTCGTGACCTAAAATCACGATTTTCTCGAAAAATACGCAGAGGTGCAATTTACTGCTTTACAGGGATTATTTTTTGGTGCTCCAGAATAACCGTACAAAAGCTGATCAAAATCCGTGAAATACTTGTAAGTCTCTCCTTGTCAGATGTGACTGTGCGCCGAAATATTCGGACTTTCAAACAATCAATCTGAGACGCTAATAATTTAAGATGTGATTAATAAGATTTTCCAGAATATTTTCAATTCATTATAAAACATTTTTATTGCATTATATCTTGTAGAACAGTATATTTACTTTATACACAAAATTAATAATTTTTAATAATCGTGATGTTCAGCTTCGGTCTTCATCTTAAGATTTGGCCAACTCCTCTTCTACCACCTACCACCATGATAACCACCACGATAACCGCCACCCTGATTATCGCCACCTCGACCACCGCCACCTAGACTACCGCCATCTTGACCACTGCTACCTTGACCACCGCCACCTTCTACATCATTGCGGTCGTCACCATTCTGTGGTACATAAAAATAAATATGTTGTAAACAAAAATAAATATACTAGAGAAAGAAAAAAATATTAGAGATGTACCATATATCCGGAAAGTATCCGATATTCGGTTTTTTGCTATCCACAGATAACCGAATATGTTATAATAGGTAAATATAACATACTATTCTGTTGTTGCTGCTGCTGCTTTTGTTGCTCCAAAAGATCTCATGATGCTTCTGCTGCTCTTTTTGTTGCTGAAGCACTTCCTTTAACATACACTGTTTGTTTTCGATAGGAGTATCATCCTCCAAGGGCATACGCTTAGCAGCCTCTGTAATTTCTTCAGAAAAGACCAAAAAATAAAAATGTAGATTATAAGCCGACGTGATTTTCGTGTCAAAATGACGACAAATAAAAGAGAATACTGCATAACAGAATATGGTAATCGCCCGGAATAAAGAATCCTACAAACTTATCATAACATTATAGTAAAAATGAAAAATTCTTACGAAATACGCGTTTAAAAATTATGTAATACTTACTGTAGACACTGTTTCAGACAAAATGCACATCATCGTGTATTGTCACAATTATAGTGAGATCAGAAAGGTGAAACATTGCGCAAGACGGGGTAGGAATGGACGAATTTTGACCACTAAAACGCAACCGGCAATGCATGGCAATTCGAGATCACATTGACCATTCATGATCACATACGTAGCAAAGAACGGTGGCAGTTTAGGGCCAAAATTTGCCTGTGATGAAAACGTATAAAATCGGTCAATCTTTATAGATTTGGACGTGTTGAACTTGAACTATCAATCTCAACGAATTATTTTTTTTTAATCGTCCCTGCGTCCGGAACCAAAATCTAAAAATGCTGGTGTTAACCTGAAACTACTGACGATTAAAAAAAAAATAAAACCCGTAGGTAAACGATCTCAACGAATTATTTTTTTTTAATCGTCAGTAGTCCCAGGAATTTTATTCGCACTTTTAGATTTTCGTTTGAAATGCCTGGACATACGTGGAAAATTTTCAGTCACATGTATGTACGAGTGATCGATTGTCTGTTATATGGACTTACATTTAATTTTCGCTCCGCGAACACTCCAAATTTTATTCACATAAATTAAGTTAATTTTATCTTTTTTATATGTATTATACACATTATTTTACTTTTAACCAAAAATTCACAATAAAATTTGATCTCTATTGTCGTTTCACTGCCAAAGTACTTTCGAAAACTGTTTCCGCATCGTATTGCCAAAGTTATCAACAAAATCTTTCGAGAACGGCAAATCTACTTACGTAAATAGGAACCATCTAAATCTTTAAACTCGCATCTTTGTCCGATATATCCATGGGCGCATCTGCGAAACAAAAATTACAGGTAACTATATTAATTAAAGTTATCGAAATACCACAAATGGATGGTTCGTATACTTTTTTTTTGTAATTTGAATAAGATAAATGAACGGACATGTCCGGACACTTACACATAACAGGGAGTTTTTGCAATAACGTGATTCCAGATACGGTGAACTCTAAAGTCACGTTATCTTTTTCTTAAGTAGTTGTTAATAAGAAGATAAACCTGACCTTAGCGTTCACTGTTTATTTGAATAAATGCAAAAACTCCCTAATTTATTATTATTAATCTGAAATGCTCTTTTTATTATAATATTATAATTTAGTTATATTTAAAAATTACAATTAAATTATAATATTATATTTAAAAAAACATTTGAAAAATTAATAATAATAAATTTTGTGTAAGTGTCCGGACATAGATACATATCTGGTCACTGGGACGTTTACCTTAACAGGAAGATAACACAGAATGCTCTAACTGTTTTTGCCATAATTAATCAGTAAATGTATTCATATCGAAAAGTCAATTAGTAAAAATTTAATTGGACTTAATTACAAGCCTAAATTAGACGTAATTATAAGATGTTAAAAGAATCGTTAATTGAGATGATTTACCAAGCGTGTGATTATGTGGGAATTAAAAAAATTTCCATAATCAATTTTACTAAATAGTATTCATTCATAACTTAATCTTCGCCAAACAGTACAATTAATAAAATTAATAGAAAATTATGAATATTTATATCAGTGTTATATTTAAGATTGTACTTTGAGTAAATAAATATTATCATATCCCGATGGCATATTAAAAAATTTCTGTAACATAATTCTATATCACTTTTTAACTTCAATATTCTCATATTGAACGATCAAATTTTTCTATAATATTTAAAATATATCCTTTCACATATTTAGTTTCAAATTATTTGATGTACATAATTTTCCATCTTTGTGTAATCATTAATTTTAATTAATTTTCCAGAACCTTGTCGATAGAGAAATTTTTTGCGAAAAAACGCACTTTAAACCAAAATTAACGCAGCTAAATGTTTATGCTCCAGTTTGTTTGCGGTATCATCCTTATAACAGTAAAACATAATGTGCCGAAAATAAATTTAATATTGTTGCATTGTTAAACTTATGCGATAAATACAATTAATCTGCACAATTTTTTTCTAATAATAAGTAACACGTTGCAATATTAACTTTGTGTATGTGACAAAATTCAAACGAAGCATATTCATACAATAATACAACTAAAATAAAAAAAAACAAAATCGATAATTATCTCTCTTGTTCTCAATTTCGATTTTGTCAACCAATATCTCTCGCAATGTAAGTTTCTGTTTGCTTTTATTCAATTTTCATTCGTACTTGTAAACAGTCAACTGTAATTACTTAACATCGTGTAGAAGTTCTTATTAAGTATTCGCGAGTGTTATATGAATCTAAACAATTGTTATATCACAATCCCTCATTAATGTCATCGTTCGTGGGTAACGAGTTTCTTTTATTGCTAGATTACATTTGACAAAATCCGGTACACGATACTTTAAAATTCACCAGAAAATGTGATTGTTAGATTAATTCAAATTGAACGCGACAAGCGCGAGATGAGAGCCGAACGATTCGATTCAAACGGCAGATCGCGGTCGACAAAGCAAACACCGTGGGAAATAGTAAGGTTGAGTGAGCACGATGTGCTCTGCACTCCTCGATGCTATTCCGATGTTAATCCGATTATTCAATAGATCTTTTTTTTCCCTCTCGCGATATTTAAATTCAACTTCGCTCGACGCTTATGCTTCCAGCATTAATCTTGCAAATGCATCGAATCGTTATTAAACGATAATTGAGGGGATGGGCGGGATAAAGGCCTAATTATGAAATCTTGTTAATAATAAAAATTAAAATAACTTGCTTTTTTATTATATACACAAATGGATACAGTATTAAATGAATTTATGTAATGTCTTTAAGAAGTTACATGTTACAATACTTCTCTATTACGATCAATATTACATAAAAAAGCTAATTGCCGGAAAAAGGGCCTAAGTAGAATTGTGCCTTTATTCCGCCCATTCCCTCAATTATCGTATTCGTGGAAAAGAGAAAAAAATCGAGAGAAAACGTGGATAGAGAGCTAGCAAAAAAATGCTGGCAGTTTGGGAAAAATATCAGCCAAGCACGAATCGACAGGAATTTCAGCGTACGTGTCGAGGTTGCATAGTCACAGATTAACGGGTATACGACGCGAATGGTGCCGTCTTTCCCTCTGGGTGGCTCTTTCGTCCGGAACCGCCACGATTGTTCGTGGCCGAGTCGCACAGTAAGGCGCCTGATGGAGAGCGGAGTCACAATACTTCCGTACGTGTTCTCGCATAAATGGCAAGACATTTTCCAGGATTCCGATTGTCGTGCCATAGCCCGCGAAAATTTCAACTCATGGAAAATCCGCGGATGGAATTTTCACCCGAGTTCATTGTCAGAGTCGACGGTTACTGGTATTGGCGCGCGCTATAATTTCAAAAAAAAAAAAAAAAAAAAAAGATAGACTCGTACTTACAGACAGTTGTATAAGAGAGAGTCGACAATTTTTACGGTGAAACACGTGGCGCCATTCAAACAATACCACTCTGCGTAATCCGGTGGACACGTGTACATGTGGAATGTGATATTCGGCCGGTCCGTTGGCGTCGGCGGCCTTGGTTTTGGCGTTGAACGTGACGAGCAAGCGTCTGTCAATAAAACATACAACAATCATTAGATCCTTTTACATTACATCGTCATGCGTATCGCTTTTTTTTTTCTTTCGCGTATGCCAATAAATCAGTTTCACCAGAGAAGATTTCAAGTTTAACAATTTTATTTATATTCGCTCATTTCAAAAGTAATTATTTTACAGTTCTTATTTGTTCCATTACTATTATTAGTACTATAAACAAATTTCGCACCCCATGTAGATAATCGGTTATATCGGAGATAATTTTAACGACTGGTGATCCTATAGGAGCATTTGGTCCTATTATCGAGATGAGAGAGTACGCGAGTGAATAACCGGATAAGCTACTAAGGCGCTTCAGGAATTTTGTCGGTTTTTCCAGGTTCGTTGAACACAATGGATAGGGTCGTGCTTCTTCCTCGCTCTTCTACTCACACCCTCGCTTTTTTCCAAACATCTACGCACGCGGCACCGGCGACGGTGGCCACCCTAGCGAAAAGGCGAGGAGAGGAGAGGTGAGAGAGAAAGAGAGGAGAGGAGAGGAGAGGAGAGGAGAGGAGAGGAGAGAGGAAGAGAGATGAGGTGAGGTAAGATGAGGTGAGGTGAGACGAAGTGAGGTGAAGTGAGGTGAGGTGAGGTGAGGTGAGGTGAGACGAGGCGAGGTGAAGTAAGGTGAGGTGAGGTGAAGCGAGGCGGGGGAGGGCGGAGGGGGATGAGAGCGCGTGCATCTCGCAGGCGCGAGACTGTACACAAAGCTGCAAAGTACAGCTAAGGCGGCGATGGTTGCATCTGTCCCGCGCGTGGCTGCTGTCCGTCACCTGTTGTAATTTTACAATCTGCCGTTTCCATACCCCAACAACGTTTCACGCTCCGTACGCTCCAGTTTATCGAGCAGGCGCGGCGTTTTATCTTTCCCTTACGAGAAACTCGCGCGTGCTCCTCTATCTCTCTCTCTTTCTTTCTCTTTCTATCGTTCTTATCATTTCGACTTTACCCGTAGTAAACATTTCACAGCTAAAAGTAATCTTTGAGTTTTACGATTGAAAATATCTCGTTACATCACAGTTATTCAGATTTGTCGGTTGTCGTAGTCGCTTCATCTTTACATTAAGAGCAACATTAAGAGATAGAGACCGAATGCAGATGCGAGCGGGGCAGATAAGCGTGTTTGACAGGCGCACGCCAAAAGTTGATCTTTGTAATTGCAGCGCGACGCGAGAGAGGCATGAGGAGCAGGGAAACGGATAACGATACTCTACGTCGATTATCTCGACGGTTTTACGTCGGGACCAGGTGCAACGTGACGCGCGAGTACTATTACATTACACACATTTGCTCGTATCGTCTGGCATAAGTCGCGCATAAAATGAGCGCTTTGTCGCGAGGGCGAAGGCTCCGTTCGGCACGGAAATATTCTGTACGGCAGCACTTTTGTCTGCCTTGTCCGCAAATAACGAAGAAAAAAAAAAGAAAAAAAGGGAGAGAGAGAGAAAAACGACAGATTGTAAGATTGTGGCGCAACGAGCGTAACAAGTGGTGAAGAACGCAACACGGGCGACTGATTCACCGTGTAATACGAAACGATAATTTATCCTCCTTAAGTACACGCTATTTCCATGGGCGTTTCTCTTTCTTCTCCTGTTCATTGTTCACAATAATATAGCGACCGCCAAATTGTAACGTGGCTTATAAATGCAAATAAGGAGTAGTATAAACACAATTTTAAGGATACTCTGTAAAATTTAATTCGTTCCTTTAAGCTGCTAAACGATACAGTACGAGTCGAGTACAATGGGTGCTGATACCAACCTGCTATACCGAAGAGAATGTAGGATAGAAGTAGTATAGTCGTGAGGTAAGACGGAATTTTACATCCTCTCGCCATGGCAGTGACGACAGAGGGGTTAGCGACGGCGGTGGTCGCGATAGGCGAGGTTCGTGCGAGAGGATGGACGGTAGTCGTCTCGGTTCGATGGACCTCGACTTCGGCGTCAACGTCGCCGCTTCCGCGAGACCGCCGATCATAGAATTGATGAAGGCGAGGATGGAGACGGTCGAGGCACATCTTGTCGTTCTCCTCCTCTTCGTCGTTATCGTCATCGTCACCGTCGTCATTCTTGTCGTTCTCGACGGCCTCGTCATCGCCGCTATCGTCGTCTCTGCTATCGTTGCTATCGTCGCTACCCACGTCATCGATGTCCCTTCGATGGTGGTATCGTTGACGCGACAGTGAATGACGATGACTACGATAATGACGATGACAGAGGTAAGGCGGCGAGTGGCCACCGATGACCCCGCTGTCGTTGCAGGGAACTTTGCTCCTCGCTACCGTCAAGCTAATCTCCTCGACTGATATCTCGCTCGCCTCGTGGCATCCCCTATCGTTGACCTCTCCTTCTTGCGTTTCCTCGGCAGCGCGGGCGACACCACCTGGGCCCAAACTCTGTTCGCGCACGTGCCACTGCTTCCCTGAAACCAGATACCCGTCCGGGCGGCCGTTTATAATGTGTTTTATCTCGGGTGAAGACTTCGGGATCTAGCGAACCCCACCAGGCCCCACCGGGCCCACCAGGCCTGATGACAGGCAGGATGGGACGGCTGTTGGGCCGCGGCTGGATTCGCTTTTTAACGTAAAGTGCGCTCCTTTCGATTCGATCGCTTGCTGTCGGTTTATCATCGTATTATAATAGTATTACAATAGTTTTGCATGGTTTTGATTCTTTTTTTAGAAAGAAAGTGAGCACGCGCGCGCGAGAGAGAGAGAGAGAGAGAGAGAGAGAGAGGAGGGGAAACAGAGGCAGAGAGAAAGAATAAAAATATATCAATAAAAAAAGGTAATTTTTCCTGCATTAGGTTCAATTTGAATATAGTCGAATATTATGGTTATAGAAATAGACAAGGCGTTGTATTTTCAAAGATGCGCAAAGTAATGACGCTTGTATTTAAAAAATCGACCTTTTGTTGATTTTTTATTGGTCGTGCATTTAGGGTCGATTTTTTTATTGGTCCTACTGTCATATCATACATAACACAACACTTATCTAATTCCATCATACTGAATATGCAATATCAATGCGGTTCGCAAAAGACACACAGTTAACGAACGAGTAACACATGTGTTGGTTTGAAAAATTTCGATCGAAAGATATGAGCCTTGAAAGCGAATCAGTCCCAAGAAGTCACTGACAGCGATGAATCGTGGACTTCAGTGGAATAGCCGATACACGTCAAACTGTATGAGATATCGTAGAAAAACTAAACGTGCATTACTCAACCGTTTCTCATCACGTGCGAGTCATTGAGAAAATGGAAAAGTTAGACAAATGGGCTCTCCATAAACTAAAAAAATATAGCAAAGAAATATAGCGTGTCGATTGGAAGTTTACAATTCTTTTATCGACTTCTCACACAAGACAAAAGGGATCCTTTTTTTTTTATACGAGATTGTATATGTAATGTGTGACGAAAAATGGATTCTACAACAATTGCCAACCCGCTCAATGGCTTGCTGACAAAGAACATACCAAAGCAAACTTTTCACCTAAGAAAGATTGGGATGACTGTTGGCGGTCTATGTTGGTGGTTATTTTCAATTTTTTCTCAAGTGGGGTGAAATAAATAAGACATAGAAATGTTGTGTAAGACATCAGAAAATGCAATGGAAAATGGAACATGAGACGATTAGTAAATACATATACATAAATATATATAAATATATACATGACGTTATGTTGCTTTATGACGATACACGATCACACGTCACCGTCGCGTCGCCGCGTCGCAACAACTGTTATAATATTGAACTAGTTGTAACATGAAACTCTTCTTCATGTACCATTTTAGTCGAAAGTGTCTTCTAGGAATTCATCGCTCTTTTCCAGAAATTCAGATTTTATAATGAAAGTATAAACACGTTTACATAACAAATTGAGAAAAGCATGTCATATTTGCAAATTTTTATAAAATAAAATTTATGTTAAATAAGATTGCCGCATTATAAATTCATTATAAAAGTTATCAGTTTCATTAAAAAATTTCACATGAAATGTATAATAACCTAATAATATGAAGTAATATTTACATTTATGATAAACAAGAGTTATTAATTTCGACTCTCGTTCTTAATAATCAATGCATAATTGACTATTGAATGACAACAGAATGAATATTGTCGATGTTTTAACGTATATAAAAGAAAGAACAGTTTTGCTGAAATGTCTAAAAAAACAAGATATAGATATAAAAATCATTTTGTTGGATCATCAAAATAATTACGTAGAACGCTTAAACGGTAATATCAATACTGCAAAAAGTTTTAACATTTTAGCAACCAGCTTAAACGTCCTATAATGAAGTTGCTTTTAGATTTGTATATAGCTCAATTTTTAGCAAAAAATATATATACAGGATGTTTGAAAAATAATGATAAATTTTTCACATAGAGGCAGAATGGACCAAACTGAGAAGAAAATTCCTCTACCATTTTGCAATTTTCGCAATAGTTAACAAGATATTAATTGCTAAAAATTGCCGAAAATTGGTCTTCAATAATTTTTTACTCAAATACTGTCTTTACAAACTGAAAAAAATTGAATGAAAATTCAATAGCTCCTAGCTTTCAGCGCTGTGATACGGCGCTGGATCTTTGCTTTTACGTTTCAAAAGAAAAGATTTCCTTTATAAAACGGTGCGATTAGCGACGAAAATCGGTTGTACGACAATCCGAAAAGAAGAAAATCATTAGTTCGACCTGGCGAATCCTCGAAAGAGGTTGCGATTACCCAGTATTCACGCAAAAAAAATTTTATTGTGTATTTAATGGGATTACAAAGGCAGATATACTACGAGCTATTAAAACCGGGTGAAACAATTACTGCTCAACGTTATTAAGACCAACTGGTGTGTCTGAGTGATGCCATTGAGCAAAAAAGATCGTACACTGGCAAGTGATACTACTTACATGACAATGCGAGGCCACATGTAGCGAAAGCGACGAAGAAATTCATCTGTGCGTCGGATTGGGAAATATTGCCGCATGCGGCATGTTCTTCTGATCTAGCGCCGTCGGATTATTTATTCCGATCGCTACAGCATCAGTTAGCGGATTCTCACTTCCAAACAGAAGATGTGAAAAAATGTATCGATGATTTCATTGAATCGAAACCGCAGTCTTTTTTCGAAGGTATCCGCCAATTATCTGATAAGTGGCAAAAATGTATACGAGAATTAATTTCGGTAAATGTACACCTCGATATTAGATGAATGTACACTCTAATATCAATAAAATTGGTTTACTTTAAAATCAGGCATAATTATTTCTTCAAATTATTTTTTATGAGAAATATGAAACAACATTATTGTTACTACAAACGAATTATTAACATTATTTTCATTAAAACTTCCCTTTTAAAAGCAGATGAGTTCACAAAGGTAAATCTGAAGGTAAATCTGACGAATAATGTGAATGAGAAATTGACATTCCTAAAAGTACAGGAATTCCGGAAAACATCTCTAACAACGAAATTGGAAATTTGATTGCTTTATGAGACTACGATGTAATCATTTGCATAATTTGTATTGTGGAAAATAGCTGAAATGGAAAGCATGGACAAGTTACCTACATCGCGCCGGAATATCTTACTTTCGCTCATAGCACAGCTGGCTATCGTTATTGTAGCAGACCGACTGAAGTCCCATCGGAATGCTCCCATTTATTAGTTTTGGATGTCATGGTTCTTTTCTTTCGACCGAACAATTACCCTTCGCTTTGGGATTATTATTGAAATACCTAGAAAAGAATGCTGTTTTTGCTAGTTGTAAGGTATTATTATTATTAGCGTCACTTTGAAGTCACCGATGGCTCAATCAGTCATATTTTAATGATCAACTGTAAGGCACATTAAAATACATGGGAGAGACTTTATCATTATAAAATTATTATTATTAACGACTAAGATAATATTGATGACATAATTTATGTATTGTTAAAAATAAAAATGAGAATAACGTTGATAGAAAGAAAACTTGAAGTAGAGATAAGTCCATGTTCAGTCTTGATTGATTATTTTCTTGACATAACACGATATTGATAGCAGGTAAAGTTACGATGACGAATAATGAATCGTGATATAGCAAGTGGCGAGCAAATAGCCACGTTACATTTTGTATCGCGTAAATGACAGGCCGTCGCGTACGTGAACGGACATTTTAGGTAAACCGATCAATTTTGTGATGAAAAAATGATCGAGAAGTACACGTGTTTTACCGCCTGTACGGGCGCGGCATGCACGACAAAAAAAACCATAATCGCGCACAGGAGGAACCATCTGCGGCTTCGAAAAGCATGATGCGGACCATGTGCCGGCTGCCAACGATACTCAGCTTGCGTAGCTCACCGCGTTAAGTCGACTGCTCCAAATCCGCCTTCTATATTATATGTTACATTGACGAAAAATCCAAAAAAAGAAAACGAACAAATTTTATGACAAACGCGGTAATATTCAGAAGTAATTCGCTCGCACATCCATTGCCGTTAAAAACAATAGAAACTGATGTGAAAAATTAATTCTGCTATTCAGGGCACCTATCATGGAATAAAGTCGGAATGGATTCCGATTGGAAAAAAAAAATTATTCTGTTTTCCCCAGAAAACACAATAGAAATCTAGGGAATAATTGAATAATTCCGATCGGAATCCATTCCGATTTTGTTCCATAATAGGTGTTCAGGGTATCTATCATGAAATATGTCGGAATGGATTCCGATCGGAATTATTCCGTTTTCCCTAGAAAACACAATAGAAATCTAGGGAATAATTGAATAATTCCGATCGGAATCGATTCCGACTTTTTCTATGATAGGTACCCAGGACATGTATTATGAAATTATTCGAAATGGGTGCCGACCGGAATTATTCCATTTTTTTCTTAGAAAACTCAATAGTAATCTAGGGAATAATCAAGCAATTCCAATCGGACTCTATTCCGAATAATTCTATATACGTACTCAGTTTTCTTTGTCAGTTTATGTTGATAAATTGATAACTTATCAAATTAAAATTTTACACTATCAATAAGTAAGATAAAGCAGTTTAATGATCTAATTCCGGTGATTTCATATATTATGTTCAATAATTAATAATATAATTGTTAATGCACAGGCATACTTCACCTGAAATTGACTAAAACATGTTTTTCATCAGCTTTTCATATTTTCTGAAATTCAATTCGCGACAAATTCGCCTTTTTCAATCGCTTGTATCCGTAAATTGTTGATTTTTTTAATTGATCAAAGAATCTGTCATCTGATACTTTTGAAAGATTTTCTTTCTTTCTTTTTTCTGCATTTAGGATGAAAAGGAGGGAGGTGGGCGCATATACAAGATTTGAAATCTCATTGAGATCTACTTTCGCGAAAAACTGTCCGATTTAATGAATGGCATGTTTTCAGCTTTCAGATTTAGTACCGTA